CTTACTTTTTTCTCCATTTTTTTTTTAAAAGATTATATTAGCAACACTTCTGCAAGCAGCAGCACTTCATGTTGCTGTCAGGTAAGCGACAAGCACCGACGCTGCGGCCTTATATCTCTGGAAGTACTGACTCTAAATTGTTTTTAGATTATTACGTGTTAAAAAAGTTCTTTTCATTTAACCCCTTGAATGTCGAAACCCCAAATCCTGAGGTGTCTTCTGGTGTCGAAAAATTTTTCAAAAAAAAAAAAAAAAAAAAAAAAAAAAATTCTTATGAAATGATAGAGAATCTTTTCCCGATAGTAATGACACCAAAAGAACAAAATTTTATGGAAAACTTATGGAAATACACTCTTGTGAAGTTAGCGACCTTGGCGATATTTACAAATTGGCGATTTCGCCCACATTGAGCCCTATTTTCGGCTAATTCCATTTTTCCAGTCAACCAAACTCACAGCTATTTCTTTAGAACCCCATTTGTTCTATCAACTGAGTACAAGAAACTGTCCATTTACTTTTTCAACTACCCAATAATGTGGTCAGAAATTTGCAATTTGGCCAATTTCACACAAATTAAAAAATATGCCAATTTCAAAATAGGGTCCAGAATGAACAATGCAGACATTCCTGGCTCTAAAGTAACATTTTCTTTGTTCATCAGTCATGTCTCCAGGCCCCTCTGATATTACTTTTGCTTTCTATTTTGAATTTTTATTCAAACAAAAATAGAAAATTTACTTTTATGCAGACTACTGCAATATTGTAATACTTGTATAAATAATGTCAACCCATTAATGACTGCATATTAGAATGGCTAGTTGGACATTTATTGGACAATAACATCATTTGTTTACTTCTGAACTTTGGAAAAAATCAAACATTTCCCCTAATTTGAGCTCCATTTCAAGGTTCTTTTCATAGTAAAACCAATCAAAATCACCTCTATTTCTATAATATGTTTTCCATTCTATCAAATGAGACCAAGACAACGAGAATACAACCATAAATACTATATGAAAATACACCACAAATTTGGCATTTTAATCCAAAAAAAGGTCGGAGTTTTTTTTTTTTTCTCATTATGCACTGCGTACTGCAGGATTTTTTTTATATGGTGCACACTGACCACACAGACCCATTCTCTCACATGTGGGCCTACCAGCTTTCTCCTGCTTGATTTGAAGCCGCTAGAATTTTTGAGTATATATACGTCAAACACAGTGGCTTGTAAGACGTATATATACGAACATAACAGTCAGAGGGTTAATTTTTTTTTTTTTCAAAATATTCAGAGTGCTGGGTGAGAGAACGTAAATCTATGTTTGGATAGTTAAGGGTTTAAGATTCAATATACAGTAGACCGTCAATTAACATGGGTTCCTTTAAAACATTTTCTCCATTACACTATTGTCAACTTAAACGGTTCTGCTTCTCGGTAGGAAAAAAATTTCAGTGCTGCAAGCTGGACAGTGGAGATTTTTTCCTCTGTGTAGTGAGTGCAAGGCAGTCTGCCTCTGGGTCAGGCAGCATTGTCTGTGAATCAGGTTTTGGTCTTTTCATTACCATACACTGCATCTGCCAAGGAACCAAGGCACCCAGGAGGCATGCAAGTAATGCAGGAAATCTCAAGACAAAGTTAAAACATTTAAGTCTTGGAGTTATGAAGAAAATCAAGATATTAGATAAGCTTAAATGTGTTGTACGTGTAGTGGACATAGCGAGAGCTTATGGCCTTAATGAAGCGTAGGTTCATACAATTAAATGGAATGAGGCAAAGAGACGGGCTTGTGCAATGAATAACCCAGGTTGTCATCTCCTGAAAAGAATGACACACAGATCACAACAAGTAAATAAAACGAAAAACTTTTCGCTTGAGTGGACTGAATAAAGACAAAGAAAGGTGCACCACTTAATTTTACCTTAGTTAGGGAAAAGGTCTTACAGTTGTACAAAACGGTGTGTGATGAGGAAGGAAAGCCTGAACAAGAGTGTGTGTTTAGCACAGGCTGGTTCCACAAGTTTAACCCTTAAATGGTCCAAACGTATATATACGTTTTTTCAACATCTGAAAGTATGTAAAAAAATGCAGATCTTTTTTTTTTTACATTTGAAAACGTGTAAAAAAACTTTTATCTACATTTTTTTTTGGTTATATTTGAAAATATGTAAAAAAAAGTAGATCTACTTTTGGAGCACTACGAATTTGAACGTCGATCTGTTTGGACCATTTAAGGGTTAAGTTAGGTAATTGGTTACATAATCTTAAGTCTTCTGGTGAAAGTGCTACAGCTGATCATACGGCAGCAAGTAATTTCCTGCTGAATTGCAGGAAATTATTTCTGAGGGTGGCTATGAGCCACATCAA